TCCCTTTCCCCTAACACCTGTCCTGTAGAAGACTGGGTTTGAGTGTTTCTAGCCAAATCAAAGCTCCCATAGGATTGGCAATTCTTAGAAAGGAGCAGTACAGCACGCTCATCTGGTACTCCTACACATAACTGAGTTCACCCAAAATATTAAAGGATACGTCTCTTGCACATTGCACAATCTAGTAATGCAGGATTCAGTTGAAGAGAGATTACCTAGTGACAATCGTCAGCCAGACTGAGTCATTTCAGCAGGTGGGCAGTCAGGAGAACACGAAACTCAAGGTCTCCCACTGAACCCCGAACAAGTCAACACAGTCTATGACACAAGTAGAGCAGAGACACACTTGGTATTTTCCCTCTACGGCAACTTTCATCTAGATTGACAGGTTTAGAATACACTTGTATTACAATACTCATTTAAACTAACCACTTATAGTGAAGATTTTTAAAGAAATTCTTACTGTCTGGACAGTCTAAATGGCCAAATCTCCGATTTCAACCTTACGGTGTTCAAAACTTGTTGCAGCAAACAAAAAGTAATCCAGACAGCATTTTTTCTAGCTAATAAGGTTTAAACTATTTTCTATACTGCAGCTTGCTTCAAAGCTTGAAGATTTGAAGAATATAATTCTCTTTACTGCTATTTTTAATCTCTAAATAGTAAAGATTCTAAAGAAAGGGGGAAACTTCCTTATATAGAATGCCTGCAAGTACTTCTACATAACAATAGGAGAAAAAAAATTACGAGTAGTTTTTTGCCAAGATGTCTGCCAGTTGGACTAGCACTTAATACAGATTACATTGAAGTCTGAATATCCCTTCCACGGGGATTTCCTCTGGAAAAGACAAATTTTACAGTAAGGGACTCCCCAGCCTCTTTCCTTCTACTTTACCTCTCCTAACCTTTGTATCACTAAGCATGATATTAGACCATAAACCTCTGGTTTATAGTCAGTCAATATTTCTAATGCCACTGAAAATAAATTTTAGTATTTTGTTACACGCAAATTTGATCTGAGATTTATGTGGTTTATCAGAAAGATTATGTACATATATACTTTAAAAAAATTCATTTTTTTCTCAGAAGTAATTTTAAAACTTTCCCTGAAAGAAAATAATTTTTGCTGTACTGACCTTAAATGAATATTTCCTGGAAATTAAAATAGTTTGCAAATAATTTTTAGCTGTAGCATGTAGCTTACAGATAGCCGCACTGAACTACTAAAAATCAAAAAATCCCTTGTCTATTGGATTCAAGACATAATCTAAAAAGTAGAATTTCAATCCTGACAGAAACATGCAAGCATTCCACATCAGATATACTAATAGCTAGTGATTTATGATCCACATAGACTGTAGCTGATGACTTTAACTTTTCTTTACAGAGCCCTGAATGTCTGAACTAATTCAAGAACACTTGTGCAAATAGCTGTATCAGGAAACTAAAACCAGGCAAACAGGAAAATTCACTGGCATTGACAAATGGACCAATGCAGACAGTTATTTCTGGATCCTGTCTTTTCTATAGGTCCTAAAAAGTTCTTTTCAAGAATAGAAAATTGCTTATAATTGATCACACACAGCCTGGATCACTGATAAAAAAGCAACAAAATTCTTTGGTCATTTTTAATTAAAAGAGCATTTCTAAAAAATACTTCACACTTGCTTTTAGGATGAAGCTACCCCATAAATAATGGGTGTGGCTCATTTCTATATTAAGAAAATATTTTGCAACTGAATGCAACTGCACACAATTTGCATGAAGAATGAACTTGAGAGACACCATGCAAAAAAACAGTTACTAACTTGAAGCACAATGAGCTTCAGATTTCTTGAACTAGACAATAAGGCGACAACCTATTGAATTTTTTATGGTGAAAAGACTTAAACAGAACTTCAGAAACAGCACAGATAAGGTCAACATACAAGTTGCTTTCCTTGTCCCCACACTCCCAAATTTTAAAGTACTAATGTTAAAAACTGAGTACCCTCAGGAAAGTCTTAAAATCTGTTAAGGGCTTATTTTTTATCCACACAGATCACATGACAGCCCGATGTGTGGGCTGAGAAACTATGTTTGAACATTACGATTGCTTTCAAATGCAGCTGCTGGTGAAGCTATTGTAATTGCACAATCAATATTAAGTAAAATATTACATAATGCCAAATTCTTCATAATAAAAGTTTAAGGCCAACATTATAAAATCTAAAGTCTTGGAAGTCGCAACAAAATACTTCTTTAGTTTCAAACTTCTGCTTCTTCTATGCTTCTTTTCACCCATATCAAATTCTAAAAAACATTTTTTCATCTTCCTCTATTGGAGAATAATTTGAAGACAACAGAGAGAACTACTGGGATGCAATACAAACTTTTTTTTTTAAACACAGAACACAGCTGTTGAACATTAATAAACCCATGAGAAGATGTGAAGACCGTAAATCCAGATGGCGGATTGCACATAGAAAAGGGGGAAAATTGCAATAGTATCAGTACATGAGTATAATACCTTATCTTAGACATTTTGAAGGAGAGCTAGTACAATTCACCCTAAAATTAATTCAGAACAAAACTGCCCCTTGCTGTTAAAATCCTGAGTTCTCCAGAATGCCTTTACAAACTTTTCACATTTTGATGAGGGCCACATATTTCTGCCATATAGGCAGATTATAAAAAATACTAGACTGGATAAATATAGTAGCGTTTTTTCCCCACCCCTGAGGCTGAAGCAGCAGACCTCACTGCCCACTGAGCTGCACAGGTGTTTGTCCTCAAAGGGTTTCAGTATTCAGCTGGAAAAGTTCTAGGTAACCTGCTCATGCCTCACAGCTGATCCTGCCCTGAGGAGAAAGAGATGTCCTTGAAGTACCTTTCCAGTCAAATAATCCTGTTATCTTTCAGGTAACCAAACTCAAACTGAACTTCTGTACAGACAACTACCAGAACTTGCCTTTCTACCCCCACACCTTCCTCCAGGGAATTCCTTCTCACCAAGCAGTAAGGTCTCTCAGGAGAGCCTGATAGTTGCTTGTTCTATCTGCAGTTGAAATGATTTTGCAAACAGCACTCACTGTACTTCTATAGCATGAAAACCAGCATTCAGGTACATTGGCATGAAGAATTTTCCTACTTTTAAAAAAAGTGTCTACAGAAATACACTCCTACAAAAATTAACTGCTACATTTTTTTTACACCACCTGCACTACAGTCTACTATGTCAAGGCTCATGTTTTCAAGAAAACAAAAGAACTAACAGAATCTGTAAAATATTTTGAGAAACATGCTTTCATATATGACTCATTCAGACCTTGAAGTGAATGCCAGATTACAAAGCACGTTCCCTTTCCACATCTATTTTCACTGCTTTTTTTTTGTTTCCCCTCAAAATTCCACCATTTCAAACACTAACCTTTCCTGGTATGCTTTACTACATTGCTATTTAATCATTTTAGCACACATATTATGCTACTAATCCAGCTCACTACACTATGGATGCTCTTTTCTCTGTCCGTGTTGCTGAGGTAGCTCTCTAGGAATATTGCCTGTTTACCTCTCTCTAGTACCTATTTCTTTTATTTCCAGACAGAAGTATTTAGGAAACACTACCAGTTCCCTAAAAATGCCTCATTTGTCAGAACTGGCAAGAATTCACTGAAGCGCAAAAACCAGACTTTAGTTGCCTTTCTCATGGGAAGCAACGACCAAGTGATAATGGGTACAATCCCCAGTCTAAGACACATAACCTATACGCATGCCTTTTGAGCTGGAATGCGAATCATAACTAATTCAGTTCATACACTGTCCAAAGTCGTATTTCAGTTGCAAAAGAAATAACTTAAGCAGATCTGTATCTAGACAGTAAGACCGTGATGCACTCTCTCAAGAAAAGGCTAGACTAAATCATATTCCACAGACCTAGAGTATCAGAACCACAACTCACTCAAAACAGAAAAGCCTGTACAGATTTCATAAATCTTAAAAAAAACCAAACAAACTGGAGTTCTCAAAAGAACATGTATTCATAAGGGAGATCACATTAATAAAAATTCTAAAAATTCAAGTAAACATACTCCAGGACCCTCACCATAGGCTCTTAAAACAAACACGAAAGGGTGCAAGCTTCTCACAGGAATTGAAAAGTAAAAAGTGTTTAAAAAGAATAAAGGAAAGAAACAGGATAGATTTCAATTTTTTTTTAC